GTAACTTTTGACTTTATGACGAAACGTTCATAAAGATAGTATTTTCATTTTCAATATTCGCTTTAACTAACGGCTGCTAATAAAAATGTAAAAAACTCCCACGGTATTTCCAATTCATAGATATCAAAATCGCATTCAAGGAACATTCGTCGTGCACCATTGTGGGTCGCGTTTCTTTTGATCCGCAGCGTCGGCTCGTCGTCTCCCCGGCAAATTCAGCTTTACAATCGAGTTTGTCGCCTCTTGTCTCGCGCATACGAGCCCCCCTCCCTCCCAACCCGCGCTACCATAAAGATGGCGCGCGCACGCCAACCCTCGTTTCTTAAATTAACGCGCGTACCTGTGCGAATGAGCGTGTGCACGCCGACGCGTACAATCGAAATTAGGCAAGGGAGCGCGTGAAGAAGGGAGATAGAGAAGAAAGGGGAAAAAATGAAAGGATGAAAGAGAGTGGGCGCAGTCTGAATAATTCATAGATACGAGCGAGTGTGGAGCGAGAGCCGTAATAAATCCCATCGGCTAATGTTTTCACAAAGTAGCCGTGAGCAATAGACGCGCGAGCTGTCGATCGACCATCGAGAATGACGCGATCGGATGAGAGAGAGAGAGAGAGAGAGAGAGAGAGAGAGAGAGAAAGAAGGAAAAGAAAAAAGAAAGGCGAGCGCGAGCTTTTGTCCATTGTTAGGCTCGTTATTATTACTCCTCGTGTGACCACCAACAGTGCACCAGAATTACGTGGCCGCGGATCAGGAGAGGAACCCCTTGTTCCTCTCGGTAGTCATCAGCGAGGGCGGTGATCGATGTGTGCCACATTACCGAGTGATACTTTGGCGGCGGACGGTGAGTACACGTAAAACCCTTATCGCTCCAACGTGGAAATCGATAAATGGCTCTTGGCACGAAATGGCTAATCTTGTCCATGTTTTGTCGACCGCAGGGCGCGCAGAAGATATCCCTGCCGTACTCCAGCAATAAGTCGATGACCGTTAGACAGATACTCAGGTGGGTTAGGCTTCAATTTCAACAGGTCTCGTGCTTTTGTCTTTTGTCTCCCTTACTTTCCTATGCCATCCCATCGCTTAATCACTTATTATTAATACGTCTCCTTATTTTTATAATAATGCCTCGTTTGAAATACTTCGGCGAGCTTGACTTTGGGATTTTCGTTGATTGACGCAGCCCCGGCGTATTTTAGCAGTCACCTCGGGCAAATAACATGATTTTCTAGCATTTATTCGCGCGTAAAAAGTCCCGTTTCACGTATCTGCTTTAATAATAAAGATTGCATTTTTCTTTCAATGAAATTCGCATTGCAGGAATACGAGTATTTAATGGTCGCTCGGCTTCGCGTTCGATATTTCCCTCACCTAACGAGTCCGCCTATTTTTAAATTTAATTCTATGATAAAAAAAAAAAAAAAAAAAAAAAAAAAAAAACAAAAAAAAAATGAAATATCTAAATAAACCAAAATTAAAGGATTTGAAAGGTGTCTCTATGATTATATTGTAATATCGTGTATTAAAGGAAAATGTTGCCTTCGTTTCCTCGAGTGCTCGGAACTTTTACGGACTTTTACTACTCTTTAAGCTTTAAGGCGGGTCGAGGTGTAGTGAGCAATTCGAGAATAAATCTAATTGCGCGATGTCATGTCTTGCAATAACTTAGACTTACATTCGAAAGAGGAGATTCTATTAAAAAGTAGATTAAAAAATAATAAAAAAAAAAGAAAGAAAATAAAATATTTGTCGATAAAGGGAGAGGAATTTCTTAGCATATCCGATGATTTATTTTATAAAAGGACGCGACAGTTGCAGAATCTCTAAATGCCTTTATCCCTGCACATGTATATTTTTCATTCAAAGGAGATTTATTATACGAAGAGCTTAAGCTTCTTGTAATTTCTTATTTACATTCGATTCAATTCTTATCCAAGTTCTTTTAATTTAAAATTTTTATGCACTCTAATTCATTCATATGCATTACCGTTTCCTGACGCGCAGCACTCAATTTTTATACCGTTTTTAATTTCTTCGAACTCGCTAGTCCATTTATGTTGAGACACAAATGAAAATAATTGTCCGTATTTAATTATTTATTTAATTTTAGCAACTATTTTGGGATTGAGAAGCTCGAGAAAGTGCCGAGGGAAGTCGTCTCTCCTGAAATTCAAAAAGTGCGTGTTTAAGTTCTACGTAAGAAGGTTTCGCAATACATTGTTATGTGCTAAATTTATTCACTAGTCTTACTTTTAGGATCTGCTATTATTAGAAGAACAAGAGGGTTCTGTGAATTTCAAATTCGGAGTAATTTATGCAAAAGAAGGCCAAACGACGGATGACGAAATGTTATCCAATGGTAATTATATTTCCGGTCATACGAGCTATAGAAGCTAAAAAATCAGAGTAATAATTTAAACAATTATTACGGTCGGTATGATTTGTATGCTAAATAAATCTTACGTATTGGTAATAAGAACAACTATTACTTTAACGAAAGAATTAGGTAGCAGTCGAAAGAAAATGAAAGTAATCATATTAATTCTTTTTTTTTTAATTTTTTTTTTTTTTTAATGCGATAATCTTTTATTATCATATTGAAAAAATTGTTACATTCTAGCTACTTTCAATCAAGTGAATACATATGTTTGGGATTATCATGGATTTGGATGTAATACTTCCTACCTCATATGTATATCCACGAATGGTCAAAAACAAAACCAAAAACAAAACAAAACAAAAAAAAAAACAAAAAAAAAACAAAAAGAAAAAAATACGACATACTAATGATAACTATTTGTCTTTTTTAAATTAACTTTTGCAGTCAAAGATTGTCTACCATTTATTAATCTAATGTCCTCTTCTGTTTCTCTATTTCTTGTTTTCTCTTCTCTCAATCGCATTTAATTTATATTTCCCATTTATACTTTATTCGACTACAACCAATTATGTCACAACTATAGAGACCGGAAGCCCGGAATTTGACAAGTTCCTGGAGGTATTGGGACAAAAAATACATCTCCGAGGATGGGACAAATATCGAGGTGGCCTGGACATAAAAGGTAAGCAATGAAAAATCACCGATACAAGTCTCAATGCCCTTACATTCCCTTATATTTCCCCACATAATCTTATTTTACAATGCGCGCGCTCGAAATCTTTTCGTAAAAAATTTAAGAAAAGCTTAATGCCTTGAAGCTCTATGAATATTTTGAATATTGTAATTCTTATAGAAAAAGTAAACTATATAAGAATTTATTCAACTCTTCTTTCTTTTTTTTTTTTTTTTTATGATTTGTGAAAAAGAATATGCATGCAAATTTAGCGATAAAGAGAGATATTGCTGTTGACTAGAAAGGAGAATTTATATTATTATTACTGTGAAAATATGTTTTTACGAAGCCTTATTTGAACTTCTGTGAATATATGCGTTTGACTCGGAAAAATAAAACTTCCTTCGAACCTCATGCATTTATTAGATTTCAGTAAATATGGGTACTTGGAATATATTTTTATTGAATCTAAAGGAAAAAAAGGGGGGAAAAAAAATCTGATAATTTTCCAATCTATTGGGATATTAAACACGTTTAATTATTAGTTTTTATTCTGAAAGCAAAAGTGCGTTAATATATTATATCAATCGTGAATGTTAAATATAAAAATATTATTAAAGTAGATATATTTCTACGGGCATTGAATATGAAAAATTAAAAATACTCTGTGTAAATAATTTATTCAGTCGCACTATTTATAAATATATAAATACAATTTATTTATTCATATGTGCAGTGACGTGCAAAATGAAAACTCCATGTTACAATTTAATACATTAACTCCAAATACAATTTAATACTCCATTTTGTATACTATTTGACCAATTGAAATTGTCTAAAAAATTAAATTCTATTTCATGAACTGCAAGGCTAAAAACAATACATGAATTTCTTAATAATATAAGTTAATACATTGAATAATTATAGAGCGAATATGTAAAAGACGCGATGACCAATATATATTATTTTCAATGCATGCGATTAAAACAAAATTAACCACAATTATCAGTTTAATTGTAATTTTACATTATATTCCCAATAAACTGATCAAATATTCATATTACTGATAAATTATACCAAAATAATTATTATTAAGCGAATTATCTGCATATCAAATTAAAAAAACACAATGTAAAATATATAAATAAGAATATTATTAAAATATAAAGTAACATATTAGAAATATTATTTCAGAAATATTTGAAAGCCAGTAAATTAATATTACATATTTTGATTTTTATCGGATAATAAAAAATAACATAGAATCCTTTAAAATGTGGCATATCTTATTGATTTTTCCTATTGTAAATACGTAGAAATAAAATCACCTTATGCATGTAAATACATTATAATAATTTAATAAAATCAAAATTATATTATGTATATTTTGCAATCACAAATCTAATATATGATTGTTAATTAGTTTTATAATAAAAACAAAAACAAAAAAAAAAACAAAAAAAAAAAGATAATTTTAGGTTGATAAAAATTGTATGATTTTAAATAAAATTAATATAAATTTATTTTATGCTCCGATATTATTATTCTTAAGCTATTATATTCGTCTAACAATATTTTAATAACATTGTTAAAATATTATTGGACAATACCTTTTCGTCTAGTATTCTTTTACGATTAATCAAAAATATGTAAAAAATATATTGCCATAGCAATTTGCAAAAAGGTTAAATATCTAATCGCTTTAACTGTACATTGACAAATCTAAAAAACAAATCCAATTCAAAAGATAATCTTTCATATTCCAGAGCATTTAATATCATAATTAATTGAATAAAATTAAATTAAAGCTGGAGTTTTATTCATTTTTCAAAACTTACCGTTACTTGCCGATTTTATGTAATATATAGAAATTATTGAGCTTATTAATTTAATTAAATCGCAATTATAAATTACATTTCGATATTTGAATTGCAACAATTACTATTTACCCTTTTTTTTGTTAGCTACTTATACATTTCAACTAAAAAAAAAAAAAAAAAAAAAAAAAAAAAAAAAACCCCCCCCCACTCCATTTGAAATTATTACTCTGAACGATAATAAAATAATTGATATAAATGATAATAACAATGCATTGAAATCATACATGTAGCGCGAAGATATTCAATTGCAAGATTTAACGTGCATATATAGTACTTGTCGAATAATTAATGCTTCATTAATATTGTAAAAATACATTATAAACATTTAATCGAAATGTATTTCATATAAAAATATTTTATATAATAATTATTTTCACGCGCGCGAAGTTTATTCGTACCTCTCAACTACTCAACCAAGTGATTTAAGCTGCAGTTGAAAATCGCCGAATACACTTGCTTTTACATAAAAATGAATTTCCAGACAAACGACAAACATTTACAAAACTCGATAAAAAATTAGCTTATTAGACAAAAAGTTATTAACATTAATTAGTCGGCATAGTAAAAGCAAAAAATTTGCCCCAATCAAAAACGAGCTTCAAAGCACAACTATTCAAACGCATAATAAAAAGTGTGTATCCGCTCGAAGAAAGTGTTATAACAACCGATTCATTTTCTAAAATCATGGTCTTCAACATTATTCAAGTGCTTACTCTTGTCTTTGCTCTTTTCCTTCTTCATCCCCTTGAGACAATGGCCTCATAATTCAAAAAAAAAAAAAAAAAAAAAAAAAAAAAAAAAAAAAAAAAAAAAAAAAATGCTACCTTACTGCATTAACAGCAAAACACATACGTTCAAAATCAGTGCATTTCTTCGCGCTGCGTGCCGAGTGAAAGTTGAATTACTCAAGTTAGCATTTCAATTATCAATTTAAAAAGAGTAATGTCATCATTCACGAGAGCTTGGGAATTTCGATCATAATTTATCGCGTTTGATATTGCAGCGCTCACCCGCAGAATAGAAAGAATGAAAGTACAAGCCGGGCACTCTTCGCGTCTCTTCCATATTAAGCGAAGATTTCGATTGAGCAGGCAACGCATTAAAGCTTATTGCTACGTACTAGTGATAATTGCAATTATCCACAGGCGACATGACGGGCAAGGAAAGCATCTACACGGTGTATGCGGGCCACGAGGTAATGTACCATGTCTCGACGATGCTGCCACACTCGAAGGACAATCCCCAGCAACTCGAGCGCAAGCGACACATCGGCAACGATATCGTCAACATCATCTACACGGACGACCCGAGCCTCCTCGAGAGCTTCAATCCCAACTGCATCAAGAGCCAATTCACCCGTAAGCATGACTTTCTCTTCTCGTTATAATAGCTCTTTTCTCGCTAGAGCTTTTCTAGCCGCTAAGTTTTTCATCTCCATCGTTATTTCCTCCATGGCAATTTTTGGGGGGAACAATGACCCGTTCGTGCTCGACAACCTCGACGAACCTCGACAACTGTCTCGATCGAGCGCTTCGAGGGGAAGGAAATGCAATTAGAAAGACGAAATGAAAGCCGAGAGACGTGTTATTTTTCGCGTAATCGCATTAAGCAGCTTAACATAATGTTATGGTACTTTACAGCTAGTGCATTGCATGGGTTAGTTAATGGACTTAAAGGGCTCGCGTCTCTCTTCGTTCCTCGGAAAAACAAAAATTACTTTTTTTCATTTTTTACTTACTATCTTACTGTAATTAAGTATCTACTCTCCGTGATAAAACGTTTGTTCGACGAATGTATCTGAAACGCGATACCTCGAGACAGTTTACTCAACTGAAGAAAGAACTCGAATGAAGAAAATGCACACACACGAATGAAATAATTAAGATACTTAATTATTTGCGTATTATGTTATTTTTAATCAAGCGTAATATGAAAATTCGTTGTAACATTGGAAAATTCATTTTACAAAGACACCCGGGAACTCGATAGTTTTATCATGTGCTTTTACTGACGATATCATCTCTCGAGTTTATAATTTCACAAAAATTTCAATCCCTCGTCACAATTAAGAAAGCTCTCTATTTTACAATTTAATTGTAAATTAAGCAAAAAATAAATATCAATTGACTTGTATATCATTAGGCAATCAAATATCATAAAATTTCATTCTAAATTATAGCAAATGTTATGTTTAATACCCGTACATTTATAATATAACGATTCTATTCGTAAATAAGGCAGCGTTATTCACACACGCACACGCGCACACATAATAAAACAGTTAGTTATACCTATATTATTGTCAATGTTTTATGTATTAAATATGAGCTTTCTCATTCGATGCCATAAATTCATTTTAAAACATAATACACAATATATTATATATTATATTTGTCATAAACTTAAAAAAAATGCAAATCATTTTTTATATTATACCAAGGTATATTATTTGTGCGGGTTCTCTTAAAAAAATATGTATGAAGCAAATTATATGCTTTACCCTACATATTAAATAATGATTTACAATATTAATAATGTTTATTATGTTTAGCTTACCCTCTCTATTATGTATGTTCTATAATAAAGTTACAATAATATATTTCTTTTAAGATTATTTCATTCTCAAAAGATAATCATAAAACTAAATCCTTTATAAAAGCTTATGTTACGTCAAAATATTGAATTGGAAAATGCGACAAAGTTACTATTTGACAATAAACCTCGGCCATTACATTTTATTCCATTACACGCTCATTGTTATCTACATCAATTATTCATATTAAAAGATATTTTTGTTATTTTATACGAATAAACATAGAAAGACTATAGCTGTAATAATTTTCAATGAACGTATACGATACTTGTGTTAGCAATTAAATTTTCGCCGCACATTTATTGACTAATGTCATATACCCGAGGCAACAATTATTTTTAAAAATAATTCTCTTCTTTTTTACGCAAAATCAATGAACGCAAAATTTTACCAATTGTATTTTAATGATTATGACACAAGATAAAACAATGTGATAATTATTTACTTAGAAGAAGCTTACTTACATCGATCGTAGGTCAAATTTAGAGAAAATGCAAAAATAATTAAATAAAACGCAAGTAATTTATCTGTTAGTTATTATCATCGATTGATTAATAAAATATCGATCCTCGGACATTTATTCAATAACGATAATTACAAAATAATTTAAATATATATTTGACGATACTATTAAGTATTTAGCGTAATATAAAAGCAGATATATCTACTATTTTATTATGGACTTTGCATAAAATTAAATTGAAGGTAAAACAAAGTAATTATAATACCAAACTCATTCGTAAGTAAAATATAAATAAAATCACTACCAATGCCCTATCGAGCATTCTAACAAAAATTGCGATTGCAAAGGCAATTGACAAAATTGGTTGATAGTAAAAGTGCGACAGCTCGCCAGCACAATCAGCCGGCTAACCGTAATAAAAAAAAAAAAAAAAAAAAAAAAAAAAAAAAAAAAAAATTGCCACAAATACAAGAAATAAATTCTCTCGATACTCGGCTCGCCCGTTGCAGACGTGTTTGCCGTGATAACGAGTGACAAGGTTGACGACACGGATGGCCCCACCTGGCGCATCGCCATCTACTGCGACGAGAGTGTTCCGCTCTTCGGGCCGAGCCTCCCGTGCCCTCCCGTCTTCGAGGACCCCGGCAACTTCCGGGAGTTCCTCCTTGTGAAGCTCATCAATGGTGAGAAAGCGACTTTCGACACGCCCACGTTCTCGCGAAAGCGGGAGCGTACCCTCGACATGCTCCTCAGGGACATGTACCAGGAGCACACGCAGGACAGCAAAAGCAACGTGAGTTTAACTTGGCATTACCGAGGACGAGAAGCCAAGAGGATTCTCGACTCTTCCTACTACCAACCTTGTAACGTTGTATCTACAATTTCCTCCGTGTATTTGAATCATAACTGCCTGTCGTGTACTAATCACGTGTATCCTAACCGGAAATTTAGAATACTTATTATTCTCAAGCCTTTATCCTTTCTCCTTTCTCACAAATAAGCTAGCTTTTTTCTTAGATTTATTCTTCTCAAAATCAAATGCCATGTCAGCTCAAAATTAAACATAAAATTAATAATTACATCGTGATTTTTATTACTCGAGGACTATATATTACTACGTTACTAAAAATTAAATTACGCTTTCTCAATTTATCTATCCGTATATTCAATTACATTTTATGCATATGCAGTACTATTACAATGTAAATATTATTATTATTATTTTTTTTTTTTTTTTTTTTTTTTTTTTTTTTATCAATGCTTGCTCGTTTCATTTAAGTACGCCAAAATGCCTTCACGCTATAAAATAAATTTCTATTTTGTGATTTTTTATCGCCACTTCGAAGCCTGTTTTTTCTATACATATATGCGTAAGTGTGAAATATAGTTTTAGGAAGAAAAAAAATTAAAATTTATATAAATAACAAATTTGATAAAATTGAATAAGCGAAGACTGTTAAATGCGAATAAATCATTATTAATATACAGGATGCAATAAAATTACATGCAAGCGTAAACGTTGCAGAACAATTATTTCAATATTTAATGGTTAGTTACAAATATCATTATCATGATTAGAGCTATTCTTATAAATTCTGACGATATGCTCATAAATCAACATTTATCTAAAGCACGGAAAACAAACAGTAAGCAACGAATTGCTTTTACCATAAACAAGAAAGATTCAAGCCTTTCTAGTATTTGTTTTATATTTTAGTGACATAAGATCATAAGAGCATAAAGACACAAGAACTGTTTGTCTTCCATTATTGATGAATAGCAGCATCTTATTCACTGTTAGTCCCTGTTATCATCAATAATAATCAACATGACATTAAATAATTAGAAATCTTCTATCGATCAATTATAAATTTGTCAAATTTATCAATCTCACAATGCGACACAACAATACTCGCAATTACTTACAATTAAAAAGCACAAAGAACGTTGAAATATTCTGTAATAAAAAAAAAAGGAAAATAAAGTCCTTTTGATTATTAGCGAAAATCAATGTTTTCTCAAATGTATATAAGAGATTCTAACATTGCAAAAATGCATATACTTTGCTCCTATATACAAGTTTTTTCAATTATTTCACCGTTCAATGAAGTTTATTAAAAATATTAAAAAGACTTTATTATAATAAATTAATATACAAATGATGGTATACAAAAGAAATTAATTTGAAATGTTTTATTTCAAAACGATGGCACAAACTTGATTGATGTAAATCTTTTTTAATTATTAATTAAAATATTGGCCATCGAGTTAAAGATAAAACATTCTTCTTAATAATCCACATCAACAGGCTATTGTGTTTTATTTTTGGCTATTATGAAAGAATTGATTTGCAATATGTTTTTTTCTTTTCGATAGCATAAACTCGAAATATAACTATTTATTAGACCATTTATTAATTAAATTTCCGAATTATGAAAAATATATGTTTTTTTCTACTATAATATTCTGATGCATTAGAATGAAATATTTATGCCTGTAATAAAAAAATTTTAACTAACTGTAAATCAAGCGACAATATTAACTTATATATTTATTTAATAAAGCATGACGTATGCTTTTATAAAATGTAAAATTAAATTTATAAAAGTCGATAAATTTTATCGTTCACCAAGTATAATACAAGTAGTGTAAAGTAGTATTAAAACTTCTTTCCGAACGTCTTTTATGTTATCCAGATTTTATTTAAAATGTCTTTCTCATATAATAAATTCATTAATTTTCTTTACTTTACTACTGTAGTTTTCATTATAAAAATGTCAACTGAAGGATTTTTGATAATTAAATAAGTTTCTTTCTTTTTAGATCGCGGCATTGTGTTCGTAAATTAAATTTGAGTAAAAAGTTAAGAAAATATCTATGTGCTTTATTATAATCAAAATAATATAATTAATATCAATTTGAAATCTTCTTCGTCGTGAGTGAAATTTACATACTTATTCTTTTAATAAAAAATAAAAATAATTATCAATACAAACTTTTTTGCATTTTAAATTAAATTTGAATATTTAAAAAATAATCTATTAAACAATTAATGTGTCTTAATTATATACAATTCCCCATACTAATAGCACTATTATTTTATGGATTAAATATTAAAATTAATTTTTAGAATTCTCTTACATAATTACAAATTACTGTATTATACATTAATATAATTTCATAAAATATTCTTTATATATATATATTTTTTTTTTAATATTTATACGTAGGATAATACATTAATTTTCATTAATCTATAAGTACTTCAGATTTCAAACTCTAAAACATTAAGCTTCTTAACATTAATATTTTCCTTTCTTAGCATTACGAAAATAATTAATTTATTACTTGATGGAATTAACAACTAGAAATAATAAATTTTTTTAGAAATAATGAGCGCATTTAATAATCATTTTATTGTAACAAACGTTAAATTATAAAAACAATATTATTCGTTATATGTTGATCGATTTACATTTAATATACGCATTGAGCTGACTATTTTTCAATAAAATATATATGCTTGAAACAAGTAAAAAATAAAAATTTTTATTCTCAATTATGCTTCATGTTCACCTTAAATTTGTATTTAAATTTCATTTTACGGGCATTATTATATTTTCTTAAGTGTAATGACTAAAAAATTTCGGTAGAAAATATCAAGAAATTAAGTAGAATAAAAAACAAAGAAATAAAATATCGTATAATTTAATTATATATATATATATTGGTTAAATATTTTTTTTTAACATTTATCTTAACTAAATTTAAATAATATTGTAAAAACTTTTTATCGTATTGTTAAAGATAGTTATTAAGAAAATATCTTACTTTAATTTGTATTATACAAATAATTAAATTTCACATATTAAGATGATTAAAGTATATAAATGAAAAGAACAATGTATGAAATTGTTATAAAAACACTTTAAACAAAGACGTTTATATAAGTTATAACGTAAATTAGAAAATAATATTAAATTAGATTTAAACTAAGTAGAGTATAAATACATTTTGATAATAAATTTATAACAAATAATAGCAAAAACGGCTTCTTTGTTAATTGTAACTTAGAAAATTTCCTCGTCGCTAAACAATTATAATAACAATACTAACACTAATAATAATATATAATTTTATTTATAAATTAATGAAATATACTAATTTTAAAATTAACTATGACTTGTATATATTTTTAATTATAAATCTTTGTCTATTTAACTTTACCATTAATAGTTTCGATTGTCATGTTTTTCAATTAAATTATAATATCTGATTTTAAATTATAAGATCTAATTTTCGGGAGAGGATATATATGAATAATCATACAGAATTCTACCTTGAGGTATCAAACAGCTTTTGAATTACGAAACCTCTCGTATAGATAAACCTACAATATATAGATATTTGTAATTAATCTGTACATGCTTAAATTTAAAATTAATAATAAATTTATATTTTATTATATTTAATGTACGCATTACTCTTTTATAATTTTCTCCTTTACATAAAATTTAATAGAAATATAAGATGGAAATAATCTCCATTAATTTTTAAGAGTTAATAACTGAAATAATGGATAAATTATACATTATAATTAACTTTAGTATGCAAATTACTCTACCGTATCATCAGCACAATTTCTGAAACTTCAATCTTCATCTAAAGTTCGACCGAACAAAACATATTCTGATCAAATAAACGAACTTGTATCCCTTATCATTTACTGATTCACTATCATTATAATGCATTCAGAGTAAGGAAAATGAAAGTATCTCTGTTAAAAACTTTTAATACTTCGTAAGGAAAATACTACGTAAATGTAATAACTCAAAAACCTAAGAGACAATGAGTATTATAACTTTTCATCTTCTAACTAAATTAAATTTTAATATTTAACGATTTCATGGACTTGTACCATATAGATATTATCAAGATTTTATTATATAAATACATTTTTAATAATGTTATATCAATAGCATTACATATAATATTAAATATAATCAATTAATGCACATTTCAGGACATTAAAAAGAAATCAGGCAGCTTAATAAAATTCTATGCATAAGAAGAGAATAAAATGTCTAGTATAAATTAAAAATCTATAAAACTGAATGGACAAATTGTTTTTTAAAACTTTTTTAAATTAAAAATATTAGATTAAAATGAGTCTTGGCTAAATTACAATTACACTGTTTTTTATTAAAATGAAAAAAAAAAAAAAAAAAAAGAACTAATTGCTGTTAAAAATGTATTAATTATTGAATTATAATTCAACTTACTTTATTGATAAAATAAAATTAAAAAAGTTATACCTAACAAGTTAAGAGCACTTGTAATGATCATAATTACTTAATAAAAGACAAAATATAATAATAAAATGTTAGATATCTCTATAACTTTTGTCGTATTAAAAAGCGATTATTACATTATTATTAATTAATATTGCATATGATTAATTGAGTTCGATATAGATGTTAGGGCTAAATAATTGATGAAATATTCATAATAATAAATAATAAAATGTAACGTACAGCCATGTATTTTACCGATATGGTAGATTAATCAGACTTATTAATTAGAAAGTAATAAATAATTTACGAAAATTGATTTAAAAACTTTTACCTAAAAATAACTGGTTATTACGTACCGTAATTAAGCCTAATAATTATCTTACAAAAGTATAGGCATAAATATTATTTTAAATACTTTTTATTGTTAGCTAGCATAAACGAACAATTAATTCTCTAACTATTTTTCTCTTCAATGTAATTGTATAATTAAAGTTAATCTTGTATTTATATAAAAACAATATTAAATAATATTTTTTAATAATGTAAATTATAAGATAGAATGTAAAAATAAGTTTAATTTAATGAGAAGTCTTGTATGACTAATTGAAATTTAAAATTAAGAAAATTTTTATAAAAAGAGGTAAAAAATAAATTAAAAGAAAATAAATAAACCAATACAAATTGCCTACATTAGGGTTGAATAATTAAATGAATCTCCATAATAAAAAAAAAAATTGAAACGATGAAAATTAGGCAAATAATGTTCGCCGAGCATTTTTTTATCTTCTCCCAATTTTTTAATTCTTCCAATCAGGCGCGCGGCTATGTAATTTAAACTCTGAAATGTTATAAACAACTGTTATCTAGAGTTTTCTATATGAAATAGTCATTTGAAATTAATATAAATAAACTCGTCAAGTGCTCAGAGATTTGTGTGGATTTAAGAAATACGTAAATAAGTATGAAATTTCATAAGAATGAGTTAAAAGAACTTTGTATGGAAAAAAAATATATTATGAATATAATTAAACCGCATAAATGAATTGTATTCTTCAAATAAGAGCCATAATAATAATTCATGGGAATTCATGGGATTACAGTTGAAAATAAAGCATAAAATGATTGTAAATAAGCATGTTGAAGATGGGAGAAAGTATTGAGCAGAAAGTACAAGAAGGAAGTCAATGAAATAATTCGAATATGCCAGTCGACACGACATATTCTCATGTAAATGCTAATAAGAAAAGTTTCATTAAACGAAAATATATAGGAATAAGGATGATGATAATGTCATAATGACAATGATAATCGAAATTATAACAGAATTATAATAGAATAATGTAAATGGTAATTGAGAGAAGGTAAATTTTAACGCTGAAAATTTTTTTTCGATATAATTGAGAGGCGCCTCCCCTTCCTTATCTTTCTTTACAAGTAATTTCAATATAAAAGAGAGAGATCGATACATCTTCAGCAACTATTCGCCGTTACACACGCATGCCCGTATTACATTAACCACCATTAATTAACCACTCAGCCATCTGTACGACAAAATGCAAAAGTGGCGACTGCACGCCACTGTGACGCTCGGTTGCCGACGCAACTCGTATGAGCTCCGGAAAAATTAGGCCAACGGCCAATTAAATGCCCCGAAAGTCCCTAGAAATATATAGAAGCGACAATTTTTAGACAATGCTGAATCGGCGGGCACTGTCGGACGTCGTGGAGACGCCGGGGCGCAGGCGCGAGGAGACCCGAGCCGCGGAGATGGTGCGGGTCGGCCAGGCGCTCAAGCTCGAGGCGATAGTCCATGGATTGGCGCCTACGTCCCTCGCGACCGTCGGCCCCCTCAAGCCCCGGCCCTGGGAGCCCCGATGCATATACCCGGACTTTCCCCACGAGGTCGTATGCGGCGACGTGTGGGTCGAAGGTCGGCTCGTTGTCGCCAGCGAAAGCGGCACTTACCTACTGGAAGGTAAGTACGCTTCATATTTCCGTGGGCTAATTGCTAATCGATCGTGTAACTTCAAATGAACTAACCAGATGACATTCAGGGCGCAAGCTTTGCGCTTAATTTGCTTATTGCGAGCTTTCGATTTGACGGCGGAACAAGCTGGATTATAATTTCCATGTCCTTTAAAACAAACGACTGCAATGGTAAAGCAGCATTGATCGATCATTTTGATGAAATGTCTTATGAACGACGACAATGGGATAAAACTTTTTCCTGTCTAATTCTAGCATTATTATGATTATAATGATTGACGTGAGCGTAAGAAAAGTGACGGATATAAAAATAATATAATACATATATTATGGATTTTATGATAGCCGATCATCTACTTTGATTTAATTTTTCGTTCATTATAAAGTACATGAAATTAACATAATCATCTCAATTGGTATTACAGCAGGTTAATATTTGCCGCGCCCTCATTTTGAATAAAATTGACATTAAACATTTTTAATTTACTCTTAATGGATTTATGAAGAATCTCCAGAATTGTAATATAATAATTCCCTTAATGAGATATTTAAAATCATATTACAGCACAAACTGTTTATATTTTTAAGATATTTATGTATTTTGTTATAAGGAGGAAACAAGGAAATTTTAATAATATATGTTTTAATCGAAATGATCGTGCGGCGAAATAGATGACAGTCCATAATTGCAAAATTAAATATTTTAAAATTACATTGGAAATGAAAATTTTAATTCATTTTAATATAATAAATATAATGAAAATGAGACAAGTATTGATTAACGATTATTACAATACTTTCAATTAAAAAATTTTTAACTATAACTTTCTCTCTCTCTCTCTCTCTCTCTCTCTCTCTCTCGTTCTTTCACTCTTTTGTAAAGGACTTTAAACAAGATGATATAAAATATACTCAATTTTATTTAAAATATACATGAAATTTTGAATAAATATTTATATATAATTTAACTAATGGAATTTATTATTACGTATTATTCGCAAAACATTTATGTCAAATCGCAAATTTTATTCGAACGAATAATAACTATGTATTATGAATTAGCTTATTTTGTTATTTAAAAATAATTTCACAATTGTTTCATTTGTAATTAATAAGGTAAGTAAGGAGGTGGATATTATTTTACATACATTGCAAATCTTCAAAATCATAATTAAATTTCCATTATTAATTATAATAAATGTGCAGACAATGTAGCCTGTATAATTAGGTCATAAATGACAAATTAACCTGTTGTACTACAACTACGTAAACAGAAATACTATTTAAAAAGCGACCATTGAATATCCCTTCCTGTTATTGCAATTAATGCAACGTTCCATTAAAATCACTTATACAATACATCAAATGTTATATTTAATAATTAATTTAAGAAATAATTAATATTTGATAATTGATATTAATGTAAAATGTATAAGCTCCAATTGCAAATGTATATAGCATCGATGATTAAATCGATGCTAATTCGATAGCACGCTATCATAAATAAACGACAATTTCAATTATATTTAAATAGCTATAAAATATAAAAAGTATTATTTAAGTTATAAATTTGTCTGGATTAATAACAGGAAAACAGAACGCGAGTAATAGTACGTTAACGACCAATTAAAAACTTGGCAAACTATTATCCAAGTACGGATATTACCAGAAACAAGTCAATTACCAAGCTTCACCATAACATCACAAATTCTTTAAAAAAAAAAAACAAAACAAAACAAAAAAAATATATATATATATATAAAGAAAGAAAGAAATAAAAAGTGAAACTCTAGACGGAAAATCGTTTTATAAATCCAGAAAGATAAACAGAGTAAAGCGTTGAATCAAATAAACGCCTCGTTATAAACGTAAATTCCCTTGGAATAATTTGTCGGAGAGCCCGCGGCTGCGAATTTCCTTACATCCTAGCGACGGCTCATGATCGACCCTCGACTCTCGACCCGCAGACAACATGACGCACCGGCTACTCTTCGACAAAAGCGTGCAGATGAAGCAGCTAGACGTGATCGAACAGCACGGTATCCTGCTCTTCCGCACCGGGGACAAAGGCAAGGACTGCAACGTGCACGTGTTCCGGCTGAGCGAGCTCGAGGCCGACGGCGAATCATCCGCCTCGTCGTCGGCAGGCCCGAGCAACGAGGCCCAAGACGACGATGACGAGGACGAGGACGAGGAGCAGGAAACCGGCTCGAGGCTTCGACAGCCTAGCGCCAGAACGCGGGCCCAGACGAAGCAGCGCAGGCTCGAACGTACCAAGGGCTGCCATCTTTATTGCCTCACTAGGCCTGGGGGCTCGCACCTGAGAATGGTAAGTACGCCCTGAGACGACCCTGGAGGATCTCTATGCTCGTGTGAGCCGATCCTCCCGGGATATGATTGGTCCGCTGGCATAAAAGATTAAAGGACTGGTATGAACAACCTCTTTGCGGTTTTACGCTAACGCCTCGGGGCTCGTTTCTTGAACATCATTATCCACTCCCGCCACACGAGGCACAGCATCCTCGTCCTGAGATGACGTCGGAGTTGGCAAACTTGCATTATGAAAATTTGCATAGATTCTCTCTCTCTCGCTCTCTCTCTCTCTCTCTCTCACTAATTCTCTCTGATAAACAAAAACCTGATAAAGTTCATTGATATTTGAGACTAAATGTTTACGATTTACAAGCACGCGTACGTTGTAATAAATGATAAAATACAACGATAAAATATGTCTTTTGTATAAGTTACTATTGGTAAATCGCGTTTAAAATAATATTACTTTGAAATAATGGGCATTGTTAACGATAAATCTTAGAATGGAAAGTGAGAAATTAATTGAAAACTGGTGCAAATGTAAAATCTTCGTTGCCACTTTTATAATGATTTTTTTTTTAATCTAATATTACGGAAACATTCGATCAGTCATTGTCGTCCAAATTATCGAACAATATTCAACAACGTACAGATCGCATTTCTTCATGTATTTGTACTTTATATTAATATATATATTTGTACATAATAAATAATGAAATTAATAATAGGCGAATTACATTATAAGAAATCAAATTAAACTACTATGAGTAAAAAGATAAAATTAAAAAATAATACAATTTCTTTTACAATATTCTGCTATTGAAGTCATAAATTAGTTTGCAAAACAAATGTTGAAAGTAAATTTATAAGATAAAATAAAAAATAATTACTAATAGGGTAAAAAGTTATTCAACATACCATGGATTTCATTTCACATTGGTGCATAATTTTATTTCAAATAATTTATAATAAATAAATAATTGACGATACTTTTACAATAAATTTTTGTTACGTGTTAATGGAATGATAAATTCACCTTACTGTAATTAATTGAAAATAAGTATCAAATACGTGTAATGAAAGTTTTAGATTTTTACACTGAATCATAAATTAATAAATAATTAATTGTATTGTTGGTTTATAACCGTGCCAATTCGTTAACTAAAATATCTAAGCGTTATATTATTTGTGTAATGTTACATAACTTTTGAAACTATTCATCTAGATGTACTATTTGTCAAAACTTAATGGGTTCTATATTATTGAGTTTAAGTTACGTCTAATAATATAATACATTCCAAAACTTTCATTATAGAATTTTGAAATGTTCACGCCACTTGGAAGTATTACAGAATTGTATTATCATAGAACTGACTTCACAAAATCCACAGTTTCGATAATCATTGTCGAACGAAAATTATTTCAAATTTGATATACATTAAGATACTGTTGCTTAATCATTTCAATAAACATTAGTAATAATAGATATCAATTAGCTATTGTGAAAAATATGTTTACGTTTTATATATATGAAAATTGTTTTTCTTAGACTCCGGTTCATCTAACAAAACTAAAAAGAGACAGAATGACCCGCTTCGTTAATTATTTTTACCTCGCTTTTAGTTAAGTTTTATATTTCTTTAAATTTTGATGAAAATAAAACTATTTTGCTTTTAAACACAAAAAGGACTCGTAATTGTCGATGTTGAATGATTATATTGTTGAAAGATAATTTATGAATTACTTTTAATCGTCGTAAGTTAATTGATAAATACAAAATTATAATTTTATACGTTTTACTTAAACGGAGCTAATGTCAATGATCATAAAATAATGCCTTGTATATTATGCAAACAAACAATTAATGATGTTAAATTATCCTTTTAAGCATGATTGATAATTATTAATTCACTTGTGATATTTCAATGGGGGAGTCAACCTTCCTTACACTTTATAACGCGAAAGGGATACTTTTTAGCTGATGCAATAACTTTTAACCCGTGCGACTCGGTAATTATATAATATAATCGATATTTTCACTAATACGTAATATAAAATCCCTTCAATTTAAGAGATTCGTATGCTCGTCAAAATATGTTAAAATTTTCTAAAGAATATGGAATTTTCAAAGGTATATGGAAATTCTACCCCATCGACTACCCTCGCAAAACTCAATGGCGACTTGTATTACATCTGTATCTATCTTTACGGGGTAATATTTCTTATCTTTTGGTATTTCAGTATGCATATGAGGAAATTAAATATATTCTAACATACATGATATGTATTTATTATCATTGAATAAGCATTTTACGTTAACATGTTAACGAGAGATACATAGAAATAGATACATCAATAGATCTAAATGAAAAATCTTTTCAATTAAAGGATAAACAGATAAATTTATGAATAAACCAAAGTAAGATACTCTATAAAAACTTGGAATATTTATTATTAGAAATTATATATAACATATCAGAAATTATATCCGATCCAATCATTATTCATTTATTAGTGATTTGCTTCGTGTTTTCATTTTCTTATCATTGTTTTTTTTTTTTTTTTTTTTTTTTTTTTTTTTTTTTTTTTTTTTTTTTTTTTTTTTTTTTTTTTTTTTTTTTTTTTATTATTATTTACGTGTTTTTCTATTTATAACAATTCGAATATACCTTCATTATCGGAAATTTAAGAGAATTATAATAATAATAATATTTCTTATCCAATAGCAGCACACAGTTTAAGCGAAATACTGCAAACTGCAATTAAACCATTGTCAAATAAATTTATGAAATATTTTCCATTTCTAAAGATAAAGCAACTTTTTAGCAGATACTTAAAAAAAAATTGAATACATGAGAGTCGTAGCAAAAAGTGGTATATTTACTTTTTTATATTTTCATCAAAATTTTTGCAAAATTTTATAGTGGCATTACTAAAATTAAAATATTCTTCATATATGTTTCGATGTCAGATCAAATATAAAATATATATTTTCAAGAATTATAAAAGTCTCGGTATAAAAAAAATATAGTAAGACTAACAACATAAAAGTAAAATATTTTAATTCATAAATATTGATTATTGGTTAAATGTTTTCATTAGGTAATCTATTGGAATGAATATAATATTTACAACAAGAAGAAAAATTGAAACTATGGATTTACCTTACAATTTATTCATCTAAAATTATTATAATGAAATCCATAGATTCACGAAATTTAATTACCAATTTTACTACTAATCGCAGCTGACTCCTTATATCTCATTTTTAATAAAATCCAATATTAATATATTTTGGTGCATAATGAGATTTCATTAATTATAATTTTATCTTTTTAATGTGGGTAATTATTTTCAACTTTAATTAAATGATAATATTTATTAAATATTCATCGATTACGTGTTTGTATGAGAAACTATTATGTTAATTAAAGCGCTTTAGAATGCAAATTTAATTCGCTGAATTATGTAAAAAAAATATATATATATAAATAAATAAATTAATAAGAATATATTATATAATAAGTTAATTATTGAAATATACATGCTTAAAAGAGATATTTCATTACTTTGACCTTTGATGTAATAGAAACATAAAAATATCAATGGAAAATAAATAGCCTTCGGCAAATTAATTAAATCTTATGATAAATTATAGATTTCGAAGTTATTAGAATTTTTAATAGTATAAACACTTTTATTCGTTTTAATATAATTAGCAGCTATGCTTTCAAAACACCTTTCCAATTTTTAAATAATAAATAGATGATTATATATATCTATTAATGGAAATTGATTTTCATTACTTTTGTCTGAAATTGTTTGTTAATCCATTTGGGGAAGAAAAAAAAAATCAAAAACATACGAATGCTACAAAACAACAACAATACAAATATTATTATTCCCTATCATAATATCATAAATAACAAATTTTTTTCATTCTTTATATTATATTTCAATATAACTCTTTTATCACATTAAATTTGGCTAATTATGCAGACAAAGGATAAATCTGAGACGAATCAGATTAAGGCAGACCGAAATCAATAATGAATATTATAAATTATAAATTCAAATTTAATTTCATAAAAATAAACCCTAAGCTGGTATCTTTAAAAAATATTTTTATATTATTATAATGTATTAGTGTATTTAAATAAGATAAGAATGCAGAAAAACTTTTGTTAGTTTACGTTTTATACTGAACAAAAATTATTTAACCTAATTTTTAAAGTTCTAAATTGTAATTTAAACACATAAAAGACTATGTTTGATATAAAAAAAAAAAAAAAAAAAATAAGCGACAAAAGTTCTTTAAAACTTAAGACATTATTATTATGCCATTACTTTGTTATTTTATTACATTTGCCCCAAATTTTTGAGCTCAATCTATAAAACTATTTAATACTCTTATATTATATTGTGACATTAAAATGGTTTAACAACAACGAATTTTGAAATATTTAGTGTATCGTCTGAATAGCCATAGAGGTAACGACTCTGACTTATCAAACGCAATCTTATGACAGGCCTCGGCCCGTCCTTAGGCGCATCTCATCCTATTCATTAATCGAGTATTAACCCGCGAAAACCACAATAACCATTTGAAACGCTCGACGAAAAATATCCTCGAAATATCCACTAAATCGCACATTAAAAGGATCGAAACAGTTCGGTCGGACACCCATCCCCATTGATAAAGGACTAACGTTGCAAAAATTCAACAGTGCGTCTCAGTGGGTAAGCGTCTGAGCGTCCTCCAGTGGAAGCACAACGCCGCCTGGACGACGTGGTGCGCGGCAGCGGACACGGACACCGTCGACGGTTTCCTGCTGCTGCGCGAGCTCCAAGCGAGCGAGCCGCCGACGATAATGACGATAATCGAGAGCCAGGAACCCGGCCGCGAGTGGATGATCTGCTGTGGTCTGCGCCACCACTTCGAGCTCATCTACGCGGACGGGGGCTCGCGAAGCCTCCACCTGGAGGCCAGCGCCAAGCCGCACCTCGTCGCGGCCCTGGACTTCTGCGAGGACGAGGAGCCTGAACTACTATTATGCTATAACAGTAAGAACGAACCGATTTTTTCGCGAGACAGAGCGTATAATTCGCGGCAGGCAGAGCATTTGGTGAAATGTCCTTTGTCTCGTTATTGATTCGATGACCGATGCTAGTGCCCCGAATGACCACCCCAAGCACAATCAAGGCTGGGAGATATTATCATGCACGCGCTTAATATTCGTTATAATCCATTGGTAGGGAAAATTGACTTGTAAATCCTTTCCCCCTAACTTTTTCTCGCGAAACGATATTGATTTTATAATATTTCCACTCGCGCCCGATTACAAAAGCAAAGCAAATCAACGGACTTGCCAGCAACGGCATACCATTTGACTCGCACTTTGTAAAGTACAGTATTTCCTATACGCGTGTCCAATTCATTAGAATAAAAATAAATAAAAAAAATAAATAAAGGAAGCACGTCCATGATTTTTGCCATTAGTGAAACAACTAGAAACTAATTAGCTATTTTTATTCAAGTTCTTATACGTTACGAAAAAATTTAATTATATATTGACAATAGAATTTTATTATTAAATCACGCGAGCTTAACTTAACTTTCTATCTCAATTTCAGAATAATTATTAATGTCTCTAGTAATTATAAATGCTTACTGAAAATGCATAAAATTACTTTTGTGCGTTACTACTGAAACTCTTGGATAACAAACACTCTGCTCGAATGTTTTCCAATTTTTCAATCAACGCCGTTTCAATGCTGTCTCATTATAATCTTCATAATTTGTAAATTAGCTCTTGAAATAAAACCTAACTCTACCTAGCCACAGCAATATTCGTTGAATATTTAAAAATTGGAGCGCATAATGTGTAAGGCATTATTTACTCTCTGTATAGACATCATAACAATATAGATAGCGTACTGATTTTCAAAGGGAAAAGTCTCGGTTACCTTCAAACACTTTATAGCTGAAATAAAAATCTCACTAAGCAACTTTCTCTTTAAGATACCTGTCACTTTCAAAAACTGTCCGACGAAAGCTCAGCGCCAATGGAGTTCGACTTCAACTGGAACTCCGTGCCAATCGCCGTAGGTCAGTATTGATACGTAAAACCCTAAAAGCCCGACGTGCGATTATTGTCTTTCGCATCGCTGCTGCGCACCAACGCAAATAGAAAGTCGATCAACCGGTATCCCGCGATATGTAGCCAAAGCTGATTAAAGGTGGGAGGGGGGTGGAGTAGGGGAGTAGGGCTGCACGCTAACGAACAAGAACCAGACGATAGAGGGAGGCGACTCAAGACAGACCGAACTAACGGACTGCCTTCTCCACGATAACAAAGTCATCATTTAAAGGAAAAAGAGCGGTGGGTGTGTGGGGTCGTTTGTAGGTGGGAAATTCGACGACAGCAGCGATTCGAAGGAGTAAGCACATAAATAATGCAATAGGTGCTTTAACAAAGGGCCGCGTTACTCTTGTGTGCTTAGCCTGCGCATTCCCGTACGTGATCGCCTTCACCGCCGACACGATGGAAATACGGCTGATTATCAACGGCAACCTCGTGCACACGATCGCGATGCCAAACCTCAGCCTCATCACCTCCAAGCAGGATATATTCTTCGCCTCGACCGCCCCGGAATTCCTCGCCTTCAAGCTCGATAAGGACGAGAGGAACCACAGCCCGCCCTCGTCGCAGTCCAGCCTGCAAAGTGAGCTTCCTCGCGTTCATTCGACGCTTTTATCCCTCGCAAATTGCACTTGCACATTGACAAGTAAATTCATTGAGAGAAACGTTATAACGTTGAAATAATGCAGCACAAATCACAAATTCGTGATATATACATATACACACACACGCACGCACGCACACAGACACATATTCCTTGGGTTGCGAATGACAAGTGTTTTTTTACTTTGAGAGATTCCGACGTGGAAAAAAATTTGCTCGGTATGCATGATTACGTTCCCTTATGCGGTGAAAAAAAAATATCAATTATTTCAGTCGCCGAAGGAATTAGTTAATTTTTTACAAAACAAAAAATTTTTCTCTCGTGCTGTTGGTGCTCGTTTATTACGCAAAAAAAAAAAAAAAAAACTCCGCCGGTACCTTGTTAATTGCGGACTTTTCCACGCGTATCTTTCAAGAGCCGTGTTTGTAAAATTTATTTATTATTATCGATAATTAAAACAATAATAATATCTATGCGTATTTCAGAAATAATATATTTTCGGTAAATATAATAAAATACGATTATTGCATTGATCACTTGTTGTATATTGAGGAAACAATACACTTTATACGGAAATTCAATATAATTGATATCGTTAGCTATTGTATTTTTCAGCCTTGCAATATATTTAACAAACGATACAAAATAACTGAATAATTTATGAATAAATTAATGTCATTGTCTAGCTAATAAATATATACGTAATGTACAACATTTGTATCGTCATGATTTTAATATTTTTATTTTTTTAGCTCATTTCTCTTTATTATTCGAGCAATGATTGTGTTACTTTACGTTATAACTTTTAACTACGATTAATCAATCAACTTAATGAGAATAATTTTTATTTTTTGGATTAATTAGAATCTAAAAAGAAAATGAAAAAATAAGTAGTATAAATTCAAAGTACATTGCCATTATTAGTAATAGAAAAGTCTCGAATATTTTCCACTATTATTCGCATATTTGATAAGACTGTTTTACAATGGTGATGGGTTGAAAGAAAATTTATTTATAATTTTTTTCTGAAAATAAGGAGATACGATTAATAAAAGTATAGTGAGAAAAGGGCATAATACTCAAAATTACATGCGTGCCGAAAGGAAGAATTATAAGCAAATCGACGATACAATTCCCGCGGCACGTTACTCAATGACAATATCCATCGATCATTCACGCTGCCCATAATCGAAAAGCCAAATATTCCATTTGCCACTCGAATTACATACGTCTCTCGTATATCTACGATCCAACAGGCAGCCAGGGTGAGTCGGGAATAGCGATGCGCATCTACCGGATCCCCTTGCAGACGCTCTCGCGCACGGGGATGACGAGCTGCGGTCAGCGACGTTGCCCGAGTCCCGCCGACCCGGATCCCGGTTCCGAGAGCGGACCCAGCTCCAGCTCCAATAGCAACTTCCTGAGCGCTGAGCCCCAGCAACATCATCGGATGCTCAGCCGTTCGTGCAGTAGCAGCCCGACCCCCAGCCTCGGTGCCTCGGTCTCGAGCTCCTCCAGCAAGTGAGCGCGGCCAATGGAAGTCAACGAGAATGAGGTGGAGGAAGTGGAGGAAAAAAAGGATAAGAAGAAGAAAAAGAATAAGGAGAAGGATGAGGAGAAGGAGGAGGATAAGGAGGAGGACGAGGAGGAGGAGGAGGAGGAGGAGGAGGAGGAGGAGGATAAGGAGGAGGATAAGGAGGAGGAGGAAGAGGAGGATAAGGAGGAGGATAAGGAGGAAGAGGAGGAGGACAAGGAGGAGGAGGAGGACAAGGAGGAGGAGGAGGAAGAGGAGGAGGAGGAGGAGGAGGAGGAGGAGGAGGAGGATAAGGAGAATTAGAAGGAGAAAGGAGTTAAGGAGGAGAAAGAGAGCCGATCTCTAGTAGGCCCATTTCGTTCTGAACTTCGTTCCTGTCTTGTCTAGGATGTTTAGCTGCGGTTCTCGCAAGGAAGCCGACGTACCTCGATCTCCCGGGGATTACGAACATCACATCAATTTCGCATGCCATAACGATTACGGAAAGAGAACAACCAAGCAACGCTCACCTGCATACGTAGCTCTCCTATTAAGCTTCTGTAACGCGAATCTTTTAGATATTAATTTTTAGTAATTTAAATTGTCATTAGGTGATTGTAATTGTGGTTTATTCATATTCGGCATTTTTCGTTGTCTCATCCGATTTTTGACTGCGCTATTGCGGAATGTCGAGGCTGCCCCTCTGGAGAATTATGATAGAGACAAAGATCATGTAGAGATCTAGAATTAACTATATATATATATATATATATATATATATATATATATATATATATATATATAATTATTTTGCGTAACATGCCTATGCCTTGCAAGTTCGACCGTTCAAAGATGCGCTTTTACGCGAGTTTATTGTATTGTTGATCCAACCTCATGCCGATGGATCATAATGGAAATATGCAAAGTCATCGCACATTTTATCTTGATTATTTTGATGATTCTATATAAGAAATTGAACAATAAGCTACTCTTACTCGATATCATTGACGATATACTTTATACAAATAATTAATTATTAAATTAAAAGATAAGTTCACTTATTGAGGCAATAAAAGCAAAGTATTCGGAGCATTGGATTGACAAAATTCATGAAAATTATTCACGAGCTTGAATTACGAATAACGCTCTATTGTTAATGAATTAATTCAAGTTCAAGAATTTCAATCACATTTTTTCCATTATGAATTATCGACTCGAGCTTTGAACGCATTTATTTGCGTAACTAAAATTACTCTGGTTGGTATCATATAAATAAGTAAAAGGAAAAGAAAGGACTAGAATAGAATAACATAAAAATTGGAATTGTACAAATAATCATTTAGTTTTCATTGTATTCTTTATCAATTATTATAAAATAAGAATTAAAAATCTTTCAGCACCGTAAAATCCGCGTAACCGTGACTTAATTAATCTAAGAGTTTCATTTATAAATTGATGTAACACCATTTATTTTATTTAATTACAATGATTGTCTGTAATAGAATCTGTCGTTTTACTAGCACAAAATGCGCAATTGGCTTATTTGTTTAAAACTTGTTGGATAGCTTAAGTTTAAGAGTCAAATAATTAAATTATCGTTTGATAGCTCCATTATTAAGTACTTTATCATGCAAATTTATTATTTTAATAAAAATACATTATTTATGTTAGAAATACTTGAAACTGCTTTAGAACTTTATTTAACGATGCATTGTTCGTTTGTTTATGCAATATGGACTATACCGGACCTATTGTAAACATTAACAAAGACAGAATTGCACAAATTTCAATAGAAATGAAAGCTATATATTAAAACCGGTACTAAATAATAAAATAAAAACAAAAACAAAAAAAAAAACAAAAAGTGGAACGACTCAAAGCTTAAGGAGAGAGAGAGAGAGAGAGAGAGAGAGAGGGAGAAAGAGAGAGAAATAATTTATTAAAATTAAAGAAAAAAAAATCATTATTTATATAAATGTTAGTAAATTATTATCGAAATAACTTAAAAGTTAGGAAGAAACTAAAGTAAAAATAACATATGTAAACTTCAACATGATACTTGTTAGAATTTAATGTCATGATTTCTTACATAATTATAAGAAAAAAAAATTAATAGTTCTAGTGTATAAAAAAATATATATATATATATATATATATATAGAAAATAATAGGACGAAGTTTTCAAACTATTCTGATTGTCATTGACTTACATAATTCGAATAAATCAGTGATTATTTTTCATAAATTTCAAATTGTAATACGCATTACTTTAAGTTAGAATGCTATTCGATCGGTTTAATGCACCATCGACATTGATAAGAAAATTTTCAAAACTTTTACTTCACATAACTCGTTATTTCCTCATTTCGTAACAGATACAACGTTACTTTAATTTACGTTACAACGTTAACTTTTATTAAAACGCATAATGCAAAGTACTCCACCCTTTAAGCGATGAAAAAATAAGTGCCAAAGAATTATTTTTAAATTATAACAGTATATTATTATTATTATAAATGACATGTCTGAAAACGATTAAAAAGTGTTTCATTTGTAAATGCTCAAATCAATATTTGTATTACACGTGGCGTTTCAATCCTCTCTAAGTCTATGAATTATTTTGAATACCAAATTTACTAATATAGATATAAATTATTTATAATTAAATGATCGTGCACAGTGTGCAAAAAAAATTCCAATCGATATTTTACATATTGAATAATTAATTAATACTGTTTGTGCTTATGTTATTATAAAATCGTTTGCCAATCTTTAGTTTTTGTGATTTAATTTGTGATTGTATACAGTTTTAAAATCTTCATCATAGTACGTACAATTTTTTCTAAAATTATAACAGAATATCAATACAAGTAGAATAAAATCAAAATTAACTTATAAACAGATTTGAGCATAATTTTTATTATTTATTAAACATTCTATATAAATAAAATTTATCACACTTTTCAAATATAGACTAAAGCGTTATTATTCGATTGTTTATTCATTATCAAAATATTGCATAAACATACAAACAAAGTGCGTTTGGAAGTAGTTTAAGAAACATTGGTCTAAAACATTGGTGAGAAAGCATAAATGACGAAACGTTTAAAATTTAAACTTCAATTATTAACAGAATAAATTGCTCTACTAACTTCTCTATAATTACACAATATATATGCAGCATAATCATTTATAATGTAAAATTTGATTATTGTTGTTTTATTGTTTTTGTTTGCTTTGTTTTTTCAATGGCTTAGTTGTTATGTAATAAAAAAATTATCTTTAAAATTTCGCCATTTTTGTATCTCACTTTTTCTTCCGATATTTAACACTGCATACTAAAGGCTAAAGGATTTACTTTTAACAGGAAGGATTCCAAATCAATGTTATTTAACAAAATATTCGAAATTTTAATGACAGAGATATATATACAGAAAAATGTAAATTAATTATATGAAATTCAGCGAAGAGTTCGACGGATATTGTAGGAAAGATTATAAAGTAAAAGTTTGCTGTTCTAGAGTTTCGCTGACTTATTTTCATGGTGTTAAATATTTTTCCAAAGGAAGACGCTCGAAAGAAATTACAAAATGCTTGCGAAATGATATAGAAAATAACGAAATAATAAAAAATGATGAATAAATCAAAATTTAGTCTTTTGACAATTGTTGACCCCATTCTCTTATCATTCACACTCATGCTTACAAATTCACATTGTATTAATAAATTATAAAATTAATTAACAATCACTTTTGAAGCGAAATTAATTTTTCGTTGCAAATTTACAGTACTAATTACTAGATTAACATTCTTTGCTCTTTTATTTTTTGTAAAAATTTTTATTTTCATTACATTAAAATAAAAAAAAAATCGAACAGTACGAGATCATAAGATATATATATATATATATATATATATATATATATATATACATATATCTATATATATATATATATATATATATAATTACGAAACGGAGCACATCGACTTCCGCTTATTGGATTTTCTTTTCGAACCATAATGTCGAAATGGAAGGAGCGACGAGGTCTTAGCCGGCATGCTGTTGTACTTGTGGTTGCATTTGTTCATACCTGCACGCAACACAAATATTTAATGATTTTATGGGCTCATAAATAATGATATTATGTCATTTTATAAACATTTTTTTTTTTTTTTTTTTTTTTTTTTTTTTTTTAGAGGATATGTATTAACAAATATTTCTGTTTAATCAGCATTCGTCTAATAAAAGCGCCTAAAATTTAGTATTGTGTAACAATGATATAAAAAAAAGGAGGCAGGTAGGAATTATTTTTAATTTACGTGGAATCATGAGACAAGTTTTATTAGTGGTTAAAACTCGTGTAAACTCATTGCACATATATTGAAAATAAAAGACATGTTAATATTATATTGAAAACAAGACGTGTTAAAAAAAAAAAAATTTAATTAATAATAAACCTTAAATCATTATTAATATAATATCTTATTTGAATAAAATTAACGATGAAAATTGTTGGTCAAGTGCATTAAAAGGCACGTGGATAGTAGTTGTACGTTTGAACATATCAAAATATTTATATGGCAATCGAATTTTCTACGTTTAAAATTAAATTTATTACAATCTTTTATTAATTTCAGTTGTTATTTAGTTATTCGGTAGGTTTATTAAATAAAATTATTGTCTCATCCATATTATAATAATAATAATGATTATTATGATGATGATGATGATGATGATGATAATAATAATAATGATAATGATAATAATGATAATGATAATAATAATGATCTAATAATGCAATTAAATTAAAATATTATATCAAATTATATCGAATTATTTAATTGAGGTACTTGAACGAATTTTACGAAATAATAAAAATATTGTAAAACAAATTAAATTCCATTTGACTTATTGGATCTGAATCACAATAATTCTACTGTTCTTTACGTACTAAAAATACTGACAACATAATATCTAATAAAACATACCTGCATAAGACATATTTTATGATTTTTTTGAAGCATTGAGATATATTATGTAAAATTTATATATTTCATAATATATTATAAAGCGATATTTTATGATTATATTTATATACATATTTTTTTATACAAATTGAAAATAATGAAAATAAATGTTACAAACAAATAATTATAATAAGTAATTTGAGGATTATTTGACTGAAAAATTGTAGTTAAATAAGAGAGAGCAGGTAATATATACTTTCATAATGATAAAACAACTTCACTTATATGTAATCCAAAAAAAAAAACAACATAAGACTTGAAATTATTATACCACATAATTAACTCAATTAGTAAATAGTTCCATTTCCCTAGCTGTTACAATGAATAGAAATTAAGACTTCTAATCAATAACTCTTCGGTGCACCTTCTACATAATTATTTTAATTTATTAACAATTAATTTTAACCATTGAAATATTAGTAGAATAGAAATTCCCTTACATATGCAACTGTAAATAATCATTACTTTTTCATTAGAATTCCTTCTTTTTTTTTTTACTGCGTTATTCAATAATTATACAAATTATTAGAAATTATTGTTTAAACTCTAGTCAAGTCGATTGATCTTTAAACTTAAAAGCATGAATGCCGTTTTTTTTTTTTTTTTTTTTTGGATTAATATTTTGGAAAAAATTTGGAAAGCATTTAGTAAAATTAATCTGTATATAAATAATTACAAATTCTTTAGTCCATAATCGATAATAAATATACAACAATCTAAAATACTATCATCCAAATCATTATATCTCTTATTGAGGATGTTTTTGAAAACTATTTATAAACAAAAACCCACCTTCAATAACTTTCATTACTTTATCTAAAAAAAAAAAAAATTCTTATCAGATATGTACAGGTATTATACATTATACGTAATTAAAATATACATAATATAGAATTACTAGATATAAAATAATATGACGTTGCACAATATTGCATTATATATATTAACAATATACTAACAGGTATGCTCACAGAATACAATACGACATTTCATGCTCCTCTATACAGCATTAATATTTAATAAAATTAAAAATTATATTAAATAGAATTAACAAATATATAATAATATCTATATATTACAGTTAGTTATTATTAAGGCTGTTCTTATTACTATTTATTTTGTTTGTTTGTTTGTTTGTTTGTTTGTTTGTTTGTTTTTTTTGTTTGTTTGTTTTATTTTGTTTCTTTGTTTCTTTGCATTAACATATATGAGGTAGCAATAAAGAATATACATGGATTGAATCCCGCTCTCTCCTATTAATTAAAATCTTATATTTCATACTTACTCAAGCTCAGAATTCTAAAAGCACTGGGTTGCCAAACACTATTTGCCATTGTAAGTAGGTTTATTATTTTCAGCGAGCAATAATAGTTTTGTTTATGTTTTTATTTCGCTTGTATCGTTTGTTTTAATTTTCAACTCAAATCCAGTATCGAAAAATGTAAATAAAGCAGCCAGCAAAGTGGGTGTCAAAAGTGCGCAAAAATCCAGTAATCTCATACTCGTACCAAACCAAAAAGTAGCGAAAAACACGCTGAGCTAAAACCTTAAATATGAGGTTAAATGAAAAACATCACTTCAATCTATTATATTCGCTAATCAATAAACTTTATTAAAACAATAACATTTAATCAGTGTTTTGACAGTTCACTGAAAACCATAGGAGCTTTTACAAAAAGATAAAGGACTGGAGGGAAAAAATGTAAAAAAAAAATACCGATGCAGCCGCCCAAGTATATTCTTAACGATACACTCGTTCGGAATGCTTCTCGGTTATGTAAGAGTAGTGCCCGCACCTACGACATTAGTAATATCATTCAAATCGGAATAAGCTCTTTTCGACCCCGGGAAAATAGATTATGTATAGAGTCTAATTATACCATATTACACTGTACCATTCAAAAATTATCTATTACCTATGAATTTTTTTAACAACTAATAATATTATTATAAATCTATATAATACTGAAGATAAGTGTATAGTCAAGTGTATGGATAGTAATTTTCTGTACGCGTGTGGGTGGGTTTTTGTGTTTTTGTATGTTTTTGTGTGTTTGTTTGTGTGCGTGGGTGTGTTTGTGTTTATGTTTGTTTTGTTTGTTGTTGTTGTTGTTGTTGTTGTTGTTGTTGTTGTTGGTGTGAATGCGGGTGCGTGTGTGTCGATACATTTGTAACTACAAAAGTATCTCAAAATTTCATAAAACTATCATTAAGAAATAATTTTACGGATACCTTTTTATAATACCTAGTAATGTAATCGACTGAATGAATTATTTTATTCATGCGAAAGTGATTAATAATTCACTTATATAAAAACGTGTAGATATTTATAAATACCAATGAAATTAAAATTACTCTATTTAACGAGATTCGTAGAGAAACGTTAATATTGTGATATTTATTTCTTACATTCAATTGCGTATTAAACATCTTAAGAATAATCAATACACTAAATGAGTCTTAATAATAATAAATAACAATTATTAAGTGTACTAAACGATTCTTTCTTTTTTGATAATCAATAAAATTTCGATAAAATTTGTAAACCTATACAGGCAATTAATGAACAACTGATAAAATACATATGATTGTAAAATTTACACATTATGAGCAAGATATAGTATCGAACAAATATATTCCTCTCTACTTTCTAAAAGAATTTATGAATGGTACTGCATAATGTCATGAATCAACAACTAAGTAATTAGAAACAATGTTATATACATATACATATGCATATGCATATACATACACACACGCACGCACGCACGCACGCACACACGCACACACGCACGCACGCACGCACGCACGCACGCACGCACGCACACATATATATACATATATATATATATATATTTTCAACATTGAAATTTAAAATTTAATTTCAATCCAACATTACCACTCGAGAGCATTTGCAATTCTCTACGACAAACTATTCACAATCCATTTTAAGGCGATTAAAAAGATGAGGGTTAATAGATTAAAAAAATAAAATAACAATACAAGAGATTCATTAATAAAAAATAAAATAAAAAACAGGTAACATTATTATCGCCAAACTGTCTGTGGTATGACAATAAGCTCGGATTGACGATGCGCATTATACATACAGCGGAATAATAATAATAAATGCTTGGTTGAATTCATTAATTTTCTCCGCCCTTTATCTATGGCACAGTGACGATCGCTAAGAGCAGCACGAGGAAGAAGACAAGCAGGAGGCAAAATTGCGCCGTTATGTGATTAGTAATGTAACAAATGTATTTTACGGTTAGTCGAGACATATCATGTGAGGCATTGCACACCCTACTAACGCGTTCGCAAGACCTTATCTCACCTTCCCAGTTGGCCTCGCTGGTGAGGCTCGTACGGCGATTAATTGCAGCCCCATTCGGCGTGCTTTCCTTCCAATCGCCGCTGAGCTTCGCCAGCTGAACGTTACGGAAGAACACGTTGTCGTCCACGCGATCTTTCCTCTCCTCCTCCTCGTCTGCCTCCTTCTTCTCCTTATTGAGCGCCTTTTTCTCCGTCGGCATGGCCTCCGCCTCGTTGTGCCCAGTGGCAGCATCACAAATTTCTTTGGTCATTACATTTAAGCTCTTCTCGTCCACGACTACATCCTCCTTCGTCTCGATTCTCTCTGAACAGGAACTATTGCTACAATTGGAATCCTCCCCGAGTTTTTTTAGGGTGTTTAGGATCGTCGAGATGTCGCGCTTTATCGGTGACGTTTCCGTCGCCTCTTTCTTGGCTTTCTCGACGGTGTCGTTACCAATGCTATCGATCATCGCTCCGACATCGATTTTGTCAGCTTTCTCCTCGACTAACGAAATACCGGTCGCATGCTCTCCCGATATTAATACACTGGAATCTGCTTTCACAACATGCTTATTTTGGATCTCGCTCCGCGCGGGTGCGACATCGATGCCTTTCGTTAACTCGACGAGATTCTCAAGGTCTTCATAAAGCTTTTTGTACACGAATACCTCTTGATCGTGGATTGTCTCAACCTCCAGTTTTTTACTAAGCGATGGTGTACTACAATTGGAGGATATATAGCTACTGCCTCTGTCGCTGCTCCCCTTACATTCACTGTAATTGTCAACAAAAACAACAAAAATTTTACTTTATTAATGTTAATGTTATTATGAAAAAAATCGTAATTTTAATAAGTCTTATCAATCTTTCGATATACTTTTAAGGTGTTTGCATTTTTCAATGAATTTCTCCACAATATCAAATTATTTGTATATAAATTGAAAATTAATATTATAAAAACGATGATTTAATTGACATAATTAATTAAATAATCATCAGTGAATTGATCGCATACATTAATACATTGTGCAAACAAATAGTGCACTGAAAATTCATTTGGTATTAATTTTTAAGGAATTTCAATATTTTACGCTTAAGGAATTAAAATTTAATCGTACATTTTATGATTCAAATCTTGAATTATCGAAATGAAGTAACTGGATCCAATTAATTGCAACAAATAAAAATTATTTTTTTTATGCATAATCATGCTGTCAATAATCATTTGAATATAAAAAATATTAATCGTTTCGTAGGTGTCGTTAATATACTTGTTTGACAACTCGATAACTTACTCGATGGAACTAAGAATGACGCATAGATCTACATATTGCATAAATCAAAGTGATTCCTATATAAAAAAAAAAAAAAAAGTATAAATTTAAATACAATCGTAAGACTAAATTTCAATATTGTTCACACACGCTGTGAGAAACAAAACAAAAACAAACGAGCGAACAAACAAATAAACAAAAAAATGAAAAACAGAAGAGAAAGCAACTCACGCTTTTTCATCCTCGATAACTAAATTACTGTGTGGTTGTATTCGATCATCGGACGACTCGTCCCAAGAGACGTTGCTTGTATCGATGTCCGACAAAGTCTCCTTCTGCCTCGGCTCAGCCGTATATCGATATCTCTTGACGTCGAAAGCCTTTACGGGATAATTGTGCCAGTTGGCCGTCGTCACTTCCGGGTCGCTGGTCCGACGACTGAGACGCTTGACGGGAACGTCATTGCCGAAACCCTCGAGTGCCACCGAGTCCAAGATAGAGCTAGCCTGGTCCTCGCTATCGAGCTCAAGCGCTGACGACGTCGTCGGAGACGAATTTATCAAGCCGTAAAGATTCGCGGACAAGGACCTCACGGCCCGCTTCTTCCTGATACCAAATGACGGCGTCGGCGAGGTGATGGTTGGCCCATTTTGCTGAGTGTCCTTACGCAGATTACGAAATGCCAGGTCATCGGTAACGAGATTCGGCTCGCCGCTCGGTACGTAGGCTGAGCGCGAATGCTCCAGCCTCGTTGGCTGCGTGTGTAGATAATCCGAGTCCGTGGCCGTCGTTATCGGCCCAAGGGGTATTCCAAAAGGTGGCTGTGGCTCCACCACCTGTCCAACGTATTCCCGTACATCATTAGGTTTCATTAGTGTATTAGTAAATAAGCTTTACGTAGAATCTGATTGTCATAAAATTCTAATGCAAAATATATACGCGTATGGATTAACAGCTAAGGGCGTTATGAGGCTGATGAAAATTAACAATTTTTTTATGAACAACATTTGTTGCTTTTTAATAATAAATCAGAAAATAATATGTATGTAAAAAGAATTATAGCGCAAAATCATTTATGATAAAATGTAAGTCGAGAGAGGCTTTTTATCGTTGGCTTTTATTAAATAATGAAATGGGACGACAATGTTAGTATCATAATAATTGGTAAACTTCTATGTAGAAATTCGGATTTTCTGAAAATGTGAGATATTCATCATGAATATCGTGTGAAAGTTCTCGAATTATATTTAATGTAATTTGGATATTAATCGGTAGGAGTGAGCTGATCACGGATCTTATGTCGGATCTTACACAACAACGACGAATAGTTTTCACTTTCTCCAAAATACACATACCGATTGTGAAGATGAAAAAAAATGCTGAGAAAAGAAGTCGAGGCTATTGAAAGAGGCGCGAGTCGAACTTGAAGAGAAAAAAAGCATAAATTGAACTACATGAAAAATAACTTTGCATTATAAATAAGTATTCAACTTTACTTCCGTATCGTCGAATAAATGGGAGAAAACTATCGTTCGCATAACATAATAATTAAATTGCAAGTTTCCCTATTGCTTAATGACTTTCTTTTTTCTTTTTTTTTTTTTTTTAACTTCAATGTAGGTTAAATTAGCTAACGCTTTTCATAATTGCCCGTCCAATACTCTGATAATATTAAAAGCCATGTCAATTAAAATTAATCCGCTTATTATAATAGTGACACTAACGTGCGTTATAACATTCATTATTTACGGAAAACAATAACATTCTTATCTGCCTACCTGTAAATAAAAAAAAAAACGCGCGCGCATGCGTACAGATATAAATACAGATTTATTCTCTGGATAATAAAAGCGATAAATATTGATTTAATTAAACGATAAAACGCCTTCTTACGAAGTGGATTATAAAAAAAAAAAAAAAAAAAAAAAAAAAAAAAAAAAAGAAAGAAAGAAAGAAAGAAAAAGAAAAAAAAAATGAAATGTTCGTGAGTCTGTACGCTATTTTCGTATATTACCTTGAGCGTATTATTAGCATAGTGCATACTACGAAAAACCACGTCGTCCAGCGTAACGTCCGGCTCTTTCCTACGTGCTTTCCTCTTAGGATCAATGTAATGCATATCCCGTCGTGATGGTATTGGCGACGTCATTAAATAACTAATACTAGTTAATGACGAATGTCCATCTACTGACGACGGCCTTTCTTTAGGGTGCATCCTCCTGTAGGCCATGTCATCCTTCAATCTATCCGGCACCTCTGACTCCTCTTTAAAGCCACCCTTAATAATCGAATTATGTCGATAAATATATGTCGATATTCTTTATAATGAATTCGTTCTGACTTTTTGCGTATTAATTTCATCTTAAGGTAATTATTGATAATTAGTTTGACTACGTTACGTTTCCTACGCAATGTTTCCTAAAGACCACAGATTGCTCAATAATATAATACGTAAGCATGCGCATAAGCATCTTTCGTTATATCGTTTTTTCGTCTTTTCGTGATAAATAATAAATATAAAAAAAATGACATCGTAAATCTTACTACGAGACCGGACAATATGTTATTATTGCGTTAAATTAATTATCGTATAATATTGTCGTGGATAATAAGTTAGGCGAATAACTTTTTCTGATTTTGAAATAGCATTTTAAGACAGTTTCGTCGATTAAACTTTTTAAATTGTACTTAAATTGTATATTTTATATGCGATGCAAAAGAAAGAAAAAAATGAAAAGAAAAAAAAATTCAAAGAAAAAAGATAAAAAAACAAGACAATAATAAAAATTATAATGTTAATCGCGATTGCTGCTTTAAAGTGAGAAAAAAAAAGGCAATAATTTACGAGTGATTTTAATCACGTTATGACATCATTCTACGATACTTTCGGTTCAATTATAAATTTTACACTTATACACCTTTGCAATGGATTCGTCACAACTTTTAAAATAATAAAGTGAACTGCTACCAAGGCGTATTAAAGTTTTTATTACCATTTAATTTCCTAGTGGGCTTTACAAAAACATGGGAGTAAATAAAATAACAATAAAATAATGACTTGAAATTCAATCGCGAGTGAAATGCAATGTTTTCAATCAATAAAAATACACGGAGTGAGCGCTAAAATTAAATTCTTTAGCCTTAAGAGCTTCAAGGTAAGCACATAATAAAGAGAGAAATGAGACTTACTAAAGCCGAATCGCCCCATGTTTTTCGTCTCGAGATCGAGTCCTCGTTTTCATAGTTATCCGGACTCGCTGTAAATCCTTTATAATGGAACTCCTCCATAGTTCTTTGTTCGGCTCTATCTAACAGTTCCTCATCCGCCAGCTGTAGACTATTGTAAATTGTCTCTAATTCGCACATTGCCTCCTCCAAGGTTTTCAAACTCCGCCTATTATTTGGTTTTTCGCTTTCGGCCTTCTTAAACGGCTGGTGATTGAAATTTTCATAATCGTTCCTCTGCAAAACCATGGAAAATCGTGGCGGCTGCTCTAAATGTTTTGATTTATTTAAATCTAATAATGGTGATTGACTCCTAACGACCAAAGTATTTGGATCGCCAATCAAGCCCTGGAATACAATTAAGCCCAAGCTTATTATTAGCTAAGTACGGTTGCTTGGTCGTTATGCTTTAATCCTCAATTACACAGCGCTCAATTGAAAGAATTATGCATTTTTTTCAAATTACTTAGACCTTGCAACAAGATCGTTTCTCACATATATATATATATATATTACACACGTATATAGTGTATTGTCGCTCGTGAAATATAGCCACGTATATCGATATGCAGAACTTGAGAGCTTCGTAAGTTTGTAAATTCCTTTCTATTAACCGTATCATTCGTGCAGCGCCCGTCTTACATAATGTTAACGACTAATATAATCTAAAACAATCAATAATACGGAGCCAAATTTCATTCACGAGCTTTTGAATCGAGTTTTTCAACGACGAGTAATCCATTTGAACGCGTTCGATTGAAAAGCGATTAAAACATACGACTAACAACACGAAACTAGACAGACCGGCGTCCTAATCGCCATTGCGATATTTAAATTTAGCGAGACTCACCGTATTGAGAGACTCCCTCAAGGGACTTCTCGAGGGACTCGTAGGTAGATCGTACATGTGGTTCGTCGAGGAGGGCGCGACGACGCCGCTGTATGTGCCCTCGTTGATGTTCCAGACTTCGGTGTTGGGACTATAGAGAGATGACCTCGGGCTCGCGTAGTATCCGTTATCCAGGTTGCAGCTCGTCGGCTCCTGCAACCGGGGCATGGGTTGGGCCAACCTATAGTACTTATCCATCGACGCGCCGTTCGCCAGGTTCCGCGAGCGATAGTCTCTCGAGGGTGGCTTCGGGGGCGTCACCGACGATCGCCGCGGCTGCAATTCCGCATAGTTCGACGACCCGTAGTTACGCGGACGTTGCTGGCTCGGATACGCTCGGCGCTCTTTGTGCAGCTGCGTCGCCTCCATGTTCCTCTCAAAGTCATTGAAGTACTGGAGCGTCTGCTGGATTAGGACGTTCACGCCCGCCTCCTCTTGCTGCCCGTAGTAATTGCCGTTGCTCAGGCCGTTAGGTAGGTCGTTTAGCAAGCCATTGGGCAGGCCGCTGGGCAAACCGTTGGAGATGTCGTTGGGCACGCCATTGGACAGGCCGTTGGGTAGACCATTGGGCAGACCGTTGGGCACATCACTGGGCAAGCCGTTGTCGAAGCAGGGTATTGTCTGGTGATCCATGTGACCTGTGAATCGTCGAAACGAGCATGGAATTTTTAGTTAATTTTTAGCTCGACATTCCTCGACTCTGAAAATTGATGGATTTATTAAGAGATGGCTGCCCGTTCAATTTAGACGATTGATAAGTTTTTATCGAACAAATAAAGGCAAAGATCGATGTTCCGAATTGGTGAACCGCATTCGCAACAATGTATGTTCAAGCCATTTTTTTGGTTTTGTTTTGCTTCTTTTTTTTTTTTTTTTTTTTTTTTCTTTTTTTCTTTTAACGTTAAAATAATTGTAATGAACTTAATATCAAAGTTTCATTTTGATAAGTGGACATTGCGATTTAGCCAAAAATAATAAACGACCGTGAGCTTTTTAAACCAAGTTCTACAAATAAATCTTTCGATTAGAAATTAAAATCACCAACAGCGAGTGTTGTATTGTGATAATTTAATCTTGGTATATAAACAAATTTAATATACGGAATTTCATACGTACACGCAATAGAACGAAACAAATAAATATTTAATGTACACGATGTTCAAAAAGTAATCCTAGCTTGTGCTTGTATCACACTATACAAATTGGCTTATTCGTTTATTTGTTTGTTTGTTTGTTTTCCACACTGCTGCCGTTCTTAAATTATAATAGATCAGAAAATCGATTATGTTAATTATTATAAGAAATCTGTTGCACGAGGATCGAATCTCCAAAGCGAGGATTAAAAATTAAAATATTAAAAATACGCTCGTCACGAATAAACGACCGAGCTTCACGATAGAAAATCAATCGAATTTTCACGACATTATAACGATTCATTTATACGTAATAAAAAATCAAGCGCAGAACATTGATAATTTCGCGATAAGAGCATAAAGTTACATTTTTTGCAAAATGATTAAAATGATTTTCGTGTAGCCCGTCCCGAGCGCTGGCTTATAAACGAAACGCAAGCGTACAAAAAGATATTTCAACAAAGTGCTTATTAAAAAAAAATATTTTACTTCTTAGCGCGCTTATGACTAATCAAAGTTGACGCAATGGAAACAAAAAATGGGCGTAGTCCAAGTACAGTCGGATCGCGCTAGCCGCCAAAGCCACATTGTATCATCGAGGAAAGGCCATACCCGCATCTTACAAATGCAAAGTACCAGAGGTGTGTATATTTAAAACACACAAGGCCCTCTCGATACGCCTCCGCAATATATCGACATCGATAATGGCCAGAAATACTTTTCGGCCGAGCTCATCGGACCTCAGCGTACACATTCCCCGACTCTTGGTCAGCCCGTACGATCCACGTCGCGATTAATGAGCGACTCGGGTTTTGAAGTAAATCGCCGCGATTAAAGGAGAAGTGAAAATTTGCTCACCGACGCCGTTGACCAGCGCGCCGTCGACCCGAGGTACGAGGTCGATCGGCCGGACGAGCTCGGCTCTCCCGCGGCTCTCGATGCTCCTCGAGTCGGCGATCTTCCGGGAGTTCTCCGCCCCGTTGCACATCCTCTTGAGATAGCGTTCGGTCCTAGAGGCGCGCGACGTTCGTTTCTTGGGCTCGTGCCTCCACCTGCCTGCCTCGTCCCCGCTGCTCTCGTCGGTGCTGCTGTCGCTCGCCCCGAGCCGGTCGCGCTTCGCCTCCGCGCGCGCCTTCACCTTGTCCTTGAGGGCCCGGCGCCCGTCCACGGAGCCATCGCTGCTGCGCGACTGCGCGTTACTCGGCTGCTCCTGACTCATGCTCGGATGATCGCCGCCGCTGCCCCCGTTGTTGTTATTGTTGTTGACGCTCCCGCTTCCGTTGACGGCGGCGTACGCGCCGCCCTTCGATCCATGACCGAAGGCTCTCGTGCCGCCCTTGGGCTTGCCTTATAATAGAAGAAAAGGAGATCGACGTTAGTGGGATGGCGCGAGTCGGTGGCCCGCGATCTCGCGTATTTTTAGCCACGAGGAGGATCACGCCGAGGCGGCTTTTTACTCATTCGTGACCTCGGCGCTCAACGGCTACTCGGGCGCTCGTTTTGCTTTTGTGACGCCGTAGCCGTTGCCGTAGCCGTCGCCGTCGCCGCCGCTGTCGCCACCGCTGTCGCCACCACCACCGCCACCGCCACCGCTCCAGCCATCGATGTCGTATCGAGGGCGTAACCCGCTGGCGCCACTGACGTCACTGTCGCGCAGGGTGGCCGTAATCACGGTGAACGCGACCCTATCCGGGTTGAGATGGGCCGCAAAGTAGCACTAATGGAACTGTCGCGACTTGCCGATGTACTTGGCAAACGTTTTTTCTACGGGACGCCTGATTGAGGAGATAATTTTGGACGGGACGGGAAATGGGCGAATACACCCGTTAATAACCGCGCGCAAACTCGTGATTAATAACGTTATTTTGACGTTGCCGGATATTCTACTGCAGCTGCATCGATAAGCCCTTCTAATTTTAGAGGTGCCCCGGCGATTAATGCAAAACTCGGAATTTACAAGCCCTCGTTTAAAGAGGTACGAGATATGGAGCGAATAAAGCGATGGCGTGTCCACGAGTTATTCTACACAAGGCCACATTGGCATTTTGTCGGGGCAACCTCGGACGGTAAGCGAACCACCGATCATCCGGATTTGCTTTTAAGCGAATTTTCATTTCAACTACTAAAAAATTCTTAGCGTGACTTGCAATTTAATAGTCTTCTCTTTATGCAAAATAGAGTTAGACACCCGGGACCGACTTCCTGGAAAATGATGAGAAACATTGGTGTTTGGGGTGGCGGCGCATAGACGGACCGTGAGTCCATCAAAAAAAGGTCATTGGGCTGTGCTCTAATTATAGCCAACTTCGCGATCCCTGGATTTATGTCGAAAGGGTCGAGATTTGAGAATAACCGCTTGGTAAAGAACAAAGGTATCCCCACAACGATTTCAACTGGAGCGAACACGAAAGAAATACGTGTGCTAATTTTGAAACAAATTTTGTTTTACATTCAAAGTTCCGATTGTTTTTAATATATTTTAAACAGTTTATTTAAAAGTATACTGATGCTTTGCCGAAACATGGTGACATTCTAATACAGACGTGTACTTTTACTTACTACGACGTTATTCGTAATAAACAAATTATTTCATCATTCGAATACTATTTACGCAATTCGTAAAATTTTCATGATCAATTAGACAGTCACGGAAATTAGATTGTCAAAAGAACAAATAAATAATTCTTTACTTTAACTAAATCGTCGTATTTAAGAAAAGAAAAACGGATTACTCCTAAACAATATTTATCTTAATGAGAAATTATTAATAAATTTGTCTTTACGTAAACGAATGAGATTTATATTTGAAACAAATGATTTGTGTTAGTAAAATTGATCAAGATGCTTATATCAAAGAGCAGTTTATTTAAAAAGGATCAGCACGAAGTTCTAATTAAATGATACGCTTATTAAATTCGTTACGCTGATTACACAAATGTGTTTCATTAAAGCTCACAGTTTTAGGCTTTTTTTTTATAAACAGTTACCACTTTGTTGGGACACATATATCTACATAACAAACGTTTAGTTTATACGTATTTTTATTTTTTTAAGTCTTGCGTAAAATTCATAATGATAATATTTATTGATATTTTATCTTATTGACACTGAATGAAGAGCCAATGAAAAACTTTTAAACTAACACTCCTCGCCATTTTTATTAGAAATTATAATCTATATTCGCTTGAACGAGTCATAAATAATTCCCATGAATCTGTAGAATCTTTATTAGGTGACGGAATTTATCTGGGCCAAATATGTATTGGAGCTCAAAGATTACGATAGAACGAGTACTCGCGTATTGTATGCTCGATGACTTTCGATCAATTTCATATACGTATTATGTGTGGATGAAACATGAGCAATAAATAAATAAAGTAAAACGTTTGAGAACAAAGAGAAATACGTAAGAAATACGACGATATTAAAAGGTTTTACAATAAGAAAAGTAACACTACGAAGCTCGATTATAAAACAGTCTTTCTTGTACAAATAATTTCAATAATCTAAAACTGGCTAACGTAAATTCGATAAATAAAAAAACAAAAAACAAAAAACAAAAAACAAAAAACAAATTTTTTTTAACGAGTGAAGGGAACAAAGAATAAAGACATACATACGTATAATGGTGTTGAAAATGGTGAGAACTGTTTGTATTAGTGTTACATTTTCCGTGACGGTGCAAAAATCATTCTTCCTCGAATCAAACAAGTACTGCAACGTAAGCATGATTAGCAAAAATTGTCACCATAAATATGGTGAGATTAAAAATTTAAGCTCTTTATTAGGCTTTTACTAATAAGCGATTAAAAAATATACACGTACGAGAATCTCTCAAACCACGAATCAAAGAATAAAATACTCGTAAACGCTTTAACATTAATACGTTAATAATATTAATTACGATATCATGACAACTTTTTGCTTAAAAAAGCAGAGCTAGTTGAGAAATACGGTAGGACTTTTACAAAATGAGAAATAAGAATAGACAATTTCAGAACAAAAATACTGCAAAGCCGTTTGCATCATGTGAAAACCATGCTCGCTGAGAAATTTGCACAAAAAAAGTGACTCGAGCCGTAATTAAATGTGATTCCCATAAAATTAAAAGAAGAAAAACCGTAGTAAGGATGTATTACAACTAGTATAAGCAAATCTAAAAGTAAACGTCCATATCAAATTAATCCGTTAGACTTATACTGCAAAGAAATTAGTTTTCTACAGAAATTCTCTTTTGTATAACTGTTCGTTGAACGCAATTTTATCAACCTATTTTATACTGCCCGACTGTTGTTTTTCTAAAATATCCTAAACGATCAATGTTAAATCTCTTATAATAATCTAACGGACATTTGTCTGAAAAATTATTTATTATGAATTTACACTTTTCTCTTCAAAATAAGCATTTATTCTATGAAATTACAATTTTTTCGTCACATGAACTTTAATGCTATAAAATTTCTAATTACACTACTACAATCATACCACGAAATTTAAATTTATCATTGAATTAAGAGGCACAGCATCGTTAGAAGATTGAAATAATAATATATTTATAAATATTTTTGCAAATCGTACGAGACACTTAAACTTTCATATTAATGAGTAAAAAATGGTAATTTTAATATATATCTAATAATAATATCAAATAAATTTTAATTTGTATATTTGAATGAACATTCAATCTGTGCTTAATGAAAATTTAAACATTTTTACATAAGAGAGCTATACATAAATATAATTTAATTAATGGATTAAACGAAAAATGTCGACAATATATTAACTCAAAGAAACCAATAATACATTTATATTAGATTGTATATTTAAATTACATATTATATTGAAATATAAGGTTAATTAATTTAAAAAAACATATATATATATATATATATATATATATATATATATATATATATATGTATGTATATCCTTATTTGTTGAGTTTTTTCGAATTTAATTTAATAAATCTACCTTTTATTTTCCTTCTATGTCTTTTCGATAAATCCTCGAACGAGGATGAGGAACTTTGAGCGTCGAGCTTGGAAAAAACATTTTTGAAAATCCCATCTATGGACCATTTTTTTGATCTTCGTTTATCCAATGACGGAGGTGGTGTTATATTGGAAATTCTGCGAGTCGGAGGAAGTAGACTATCCTCTCTGATAGCCACAAACTTTCCTTTATTATTTTTCCACTTGTCCATTTAAAAGACTCCAGCCGGCGAGGAACAAAAATAGAACTAAAATTTCACCGAGCGGACCTGTAACATCAAAAAATAAAAGTTCTTATAAAACTAGCAATATTAACTTGATATATTCTTATTAATAAATTTAGTTGTAAAACATAAATTATTAACGATAATTTATACGAGATATTTTGCTTAAATAAATTATATTCTTTATATTAACGCATATAAATTGAAACAAAATTTTTATAATAAACATTGTATACAATTATTGCATAAATAGAATAGAGTTCATCTATGCAAATTCATAACAACGATAATTTCACGATCAATTCCCTAATTTAGAATATAAAACGCTTAAATAGAAAAACAATTTAAATGACAATAAAATTATTACTCGTGATTTTATACATTTTATATATAAAAATTGAATAGTTGATTCGTGAAAAAAAACTTTTGTGATACATCGATAATGTAAATATAAAAACAATTGATAAAAAATTATAATATAATAGGATAAATATTTATTTCTTTATAAAAAAAAAAAAAAAATGCAGTAAATAAATAATTTAGCAATTATTTCAATTTAATATGTAAATTAAGCATAAGCATTGCAATAATATATTATAGTTTAATTTTTAAGTACATATTAAATTTATAAATATATTACGTGATATTTTTGTATAAATTTTATTATTATACAAGTTATATAGACTATTTAACACATGCGTGAGGTATTTTTTATACAATCTCTATTATATTTTATAAATTGTAGATTGGAATAAAAAAAATACGTTTATCGATATAACTAAGAATGGCAATATTTTATATAAAATTAAATAAAACTAAGAAAGAATCTATGTTTTTACTCATTTTTGTATTTGACTTTTTTTTTCAACGCCTTCGTCGCTAACCGTTTCATATGATGCTACATTTATATTATTATTACTTTACAAACTCATAAAAAAAGGCCTTAAAAAATTATTCGATTAAGCCGTGTATAAGTAAATTATGTAATAGCTTTATTAAAGTACAGAAAATATATAGAAGCTTTTTCCTTTCTATACGCATAGTACGATCAGTATAAGTAAAACACTCGAGGTCAAAGTGGAAATAATACTGCCTAGCAATTTAAGTTTCAAGTAATTCCATCATACGCATATAGATAAAGCATGCGGGAAGGAGGGGAAGGAGAATTGTGACAGGATTGAATGCATAAGTGTAATAGAGACTCATATAATAATAAAAGACTGACAATTAGACACCAATTCAGTCAACCGAATGTGATTCGTAATATTCATGTCAGTACAATCAAATACTCGCGTCACATGCACAAAAGAACAATTTAGAAGTGACAACTGGTCTACTGAATTTACTCCCCGTCTAAACATTCCTTATATATTGCAATTAATAGCATTATTTGAAATGTCAAAAATTATATGAATTTATAGAACACAGCTTTATCTTAATTGACCTTGTTAACATATCATGATTGTTAAAAATTTCTTGTTATATTATATAGAAAAAAAATTTTTAAATAATTAACATTAAATATAATATAGTGTCATATAAGTCTCTCGTAAAGAAACACTAAATATACATACAAATTATAATTAATTCAAGTTATTTGTGCAATATTAATAATTATTGATAAAACGTAAACTGTAGAATTAATGTGATTTCACATCAGTAATGATCAATTAGAGCATCAGCTTATTATTATAATGAAAAATAAGTGTCGTTTACTAAATAATACTATTACAATCTAAAACTCTATATGAATATCAACATATTTTTCAAATTAAGCGAATTATCAGAAATAAAAATCATGTAAATAAATATTGTATATGAAAATGATCGAAAATTACATTAAATAGTTTCGATGACCAGCATAAGCAGTAGTAAATTTTATTTAAAGTTCTTATTAGTAAATCTAAAATTTCGTATTGCTTACTATAAATAGCATAGCAGTTAAAACAATAAATTTTTAATGGCTATTATTAATGTAACATTATATTCTTTTAGAAAATACAACTATAATTATGAATCCAAGATGAAAACTAACTTTCAATATCAAATCTAATAATAAAACATACTTTGGTAATACCTTCTTCCCATTGTAATAATTATAAAGCACTGTATAATAAAAGTTTTTTTATATCCACGTATTGTCAAACAAGTTAAATGAAATAATTATTTTATGTATTATTGTCATTAGAATATTTTCATCTTTGTATAATCATTAAACTGAGAAAAGCCGTCCGCCGATATAGAGAAATAAAGGAAAAACATTAACACATTCCAATTGCCCATTGTTCTAATTATCTCTGTATTTATCGTTATGGATGTAAAAATCGTCACTCGGCATCATTCTATGTACTTATCTTATAATTTTTATGAATTAAATACGATATCTGAAAACAGGACGACATGAAATAAACATTTCATACTTTAGAATCTCGTTGCAAAAGAGGCATTTAATCGTCGTAACGTGAGTAACTTTTTTAAAATTTTCGTCGGATTTGTCTAGTAAGAAATAAAAAATGATGCTTAACAAAGCTCTGACAAAGCCAAAAAGCAGAGGATGTCCGACGAGTCTCGTCTGACTCTCGAATATACGTGCTCTTCGCTATTCTTTTGTCCTGGTATTTGTGTGTATTTCCAAAATTACAAATCACACATTTATTTAATCTTATTTCACTATTTGCTTCGTATCTTTGACAAATCATCACATTCATTCATCTTCTTGACATAAGCGACTCTTTAAACATGACTCTATAATCTATTCTTTTTATTTAAAGATTTGGTAAATTTGGTAAATAAGATATATTTGTCCAAAATCAAGCTCACATTTCAATTCTTTAAAGTCCAACTTTCTTAATAATTATAAAATATAAAAAGACTCGTGATTATTTTAATAAACAGAATTTCTAAACAATGATACATTTAGTCAAGGTTACATCGATCCTTCCCCCCCCCCCACCCCGCGCCCCCCCCCCCCCCCATATATATATATATATATATATATATATATATCGTGCAAGCATATAATCATACAAAATCTTTCTATTTACGTTTATCCGTGTTACACTGTTTAATTAATAACAATATTAAACCAGCGAAATCTGTAATTAAAAGAAATATTTATTTGATAGTAAGAAGTATTTATGTTTTAATTTTTGAAAATTTTTAGAAAAATTGAAATTATTTGGGCAAAAATATAAAAGTAATGTTTTAGAATTGTTATAAACATGTGTATTTATTTACAAAATCGTCTCTGCGCATGTTGCATCTATGCAATGAGCATCTATTAAATAAATAATATTATTTAATGAAAAATATTTTTACTTCTAATAATTACTATCAATTAGTTTCAATAATTGCACTTGTTTTGAATAATTTACTTTATGAATTGCTTTTATTGGAAAATTCAAAATATTTATTTATTAAATTTATTAAACGTCTGTATAAAACATTGTTAAAATAACATAATATCGATATTCTTTTTTCTTACAGTTTGTATATTCAAATTAAAAAATTATATAAAAAAAAAATCACGCAAAATAAAATAAATTATCGAATATAATTTTTATAAAATTACAAATTATTATGAGAATAAATATTTTAAAAGGCATTTCAAATATTTATTTTGAATTTATAAATTAAGTGTTGATGTAATTGTAAGTAGGTAATTTGAAAATAATTCGAATAAATTATCAAA